AATTCACCCTTGCTATTCCCTCCCCCTCGATGCTGTTCCCTCTTCTCTACTCTGGGAAGTCGATGTATCTTCAGAGGCTTGACTCAAATCCCGCCTCCTCTCTAAAGGCTCCACGTGCACTGCACCTCCAAGGGTTAATTACACACTCTCGATTCTCTCATAACTTTGCAAAAAGCTTCTATCACACACCATTTATCACATTACATGACCGAGGTGCCTCTTTCCTCCATGCCCTTACCTGTTTATTCTGTAATGTCTATAGACGGAACAAATTTTGGCAAAGATGGCTGAAAGGGCTGTTTATGTTGGAGCTGGGAGAGTTCTCCCTACCCCCCTCTGGACCACTACAAGCTTTTACCCATCTAAAACATTCAAATGAATCAGTGATCCCTCCCCCTACTTCCAAATTTCACCACACTGAGCTATCTCACAGCAGAGTTCTGTGGGCGATTCCCAAAATAAATGAAAAACAGATCTACAATTCTTGACTGGACACCTACCGTGCATTCCACACCAATCCATAAGCCTTTGGGAATTTTACAACTTGTCCTGAGCACAGCCCAGGGCTCAGCTTCCATCCCTGGGAAAGAGAATCATCTTTTTCTGCCTCAGAAAGATAAAGCACCATCCTTTCCCTGTCCTGCAATCCAGCCAAGTCACACAGTCCTGGGGCCACCATTTAGGATCTGTGTGATCTTGGCAAACTGCCTAACCCTGTGAGCCTCAGTTAACTTATCTGAAAAATGGGGTCACTGGAGACCTTGCTCTTAGGGCTACTGTGAAGATTCAAAGAGGTCTGTGTGGAAAGTATTTGGATTAGTCACTGTTGTGTGTTACACCGTAAAGAGTCACTTGTCTTCCTTTCTGCCTCCTTTCCTACTTTCCTTCCTACCTGGCTTCTCTCTCTCCCCTTTACTCCTTCCTCCTGGAGTCTGCCTGATGGAGAAGTTTACTTGAGCACACTGAACATTGGATCAATAAGGGGCCATAGAACAATGGAGATTTCAGTGGGGGGCTCAGAAATCCTGTCACTCTCAGTGTCTCTGTTCTCCTTTATGGATTTTTTTCCTCCTCCAACAGTTCACCCGGAGTATCTCTAGATCCTTGAGCACTGACCGGTCCTCAGACACACCTAAGAGAACTTGCAGACCACCGGATGTGCTGTGCACTGTGCAAACGTCCCAGACTCAGCACTTCCACGCTCGTGGTCAGCACGCTCTGTGCAACCCTCTCCTTGGAACATGGTAATCACAGAGCAAATGTGAATGCTAAAGAAAGAAGCAAGCAGGGCAGGGCTGAACCGCATGAGTGACGCTGCGAGGATTTCAGGGAATCCACGAGAGGACGAGGAGGTGGGCGAGGCAGAGGGACAAGCCGTCTCGCCCTCGCTGGCACTTCGGGGAAACGATGCCCTATTAATGGCCAACAGCACAGGTCTGCCCCGTGCATCTGGGCGGCCCACAGATGTGCCCGGCCCACAAATATGCAGTTGGCAACTCCTGAACTTTCAGTGACTTGACGCCAGCTGATCTGATCAGCAATTACGTTTTATTTTGGGGCCACGGAGACAGCAGAGAACCAGGAAAATTATAAGACACTGGGGTGCAGTTCTGCTAAGAATATCAACTACAAACTTTTTTTAAGCAATAGCTGGTTAGGGGTTTGCAGCGAACTAAAATAAGAAAATCCTGGACACTAAAATCAGATTATAGCCGGTTTTCCTAGGGGAGGTTTAAGCCTTTGTCCAATATAAATGTGTAAATCTGGGTTAGACATATATATATATGTATATATATAGGAGGGGGATGGGTAATTCCCACCCAGAGAACTTTGCTATTGACAGTGAGTCCAGCAGGGAGGTAAAAACTCCTGGATTCGTAGCATGTCCTGGGGTTGAATCTTACTCTGTTTCTTACTAGCCCATGACCTTGGATAAATTTATAAAATCATTGGCCTCATTCATCCATGAAACGGGGATGTAATACCTAGCTCGGGGCTCATAAGGATTAAATGAGAAGTTTAGAAGCATCTAGGTAGTATCCGGCCTACAGTCCTGGTACATGGCAACTAAGATGATTCCTTCTTGCCATAATACTAGTTTCTTATCATCAAATAAACGATTCTTGTTTTCACCATCATATATCAAGCCCAAATAACCAATCGATATAAAAGCACAGCAAACATCATCTCAGGAGCAGTTTGGTTTTTGGCGAGTAGAGGGTTTGTCATTTACCTCAGTGATCCCATTCTCCCAGGCTCAGCGGCTTTAACAACTTGGTCAGGTGGGAAATGTAAGAAATTGCAATCCAACCCCACTGGGTATAAAGTCTATAAATGTCTCATGGACACAAAACTAAACTCAACGGGAGCACTTGCTCTCTCAACGGGAGCACTCACTCTCTCAACGGGAGCACTCGCTCTCTCAACAGGAGCACTCACTTGCTTCTCTCCCAGCCCACTGCAGCCCAAAGGCTCACCAAGACAGTTTCTCTGAAAAGTGCCGCTTACTGAACTTGCGTGGGAATGGAACATAATTACAGCTTGTAAAGGAAGCCAGCCCAAGAAAAAACATCCCGAGACAACATCCCGAGGAAATGGGGCGATCTTCCTGCATGGACATTTCCCTGGTTGCCGGCTTAAGGGGCCAGACAACTTGTCCAAGACATCCTGGAGGGAGGACAGTGACTCACCCGCCTCCACCCTGACGAATACCTCCCAGCGCTGCCTCTGAGAGTCCTAGGCTACTGCTAAGTAGGCCTCTTAGCCAGATAATGCTCAGAACACTACCGGAAGGACGAGATGGCTTCTACCCACGAGAGTCAGCTCTCCTTTGATTGGTTCCCAGATGGACCAAGCAGGGTCTCCCTCACCAGCCAACTCATTCCCGTCAACCCTGGGATAAGAATAACCAGACACAGAAGGCTGGGCACATACACCCGCTTCACCCTTTCATGCCCAGTGCCAGCTGCATGCAGTAGGCACTCATAATAGCAGATGAAGAACTGAATGAGTAAACCAGGGAATGAACCCAGAAAGGAGCAAACTCCACAGGAGGCACCGAGCAAGTCACATCACCACATGTGACCCTGCAAGGCAGGTATTGTTCACATCAGATGATAAAGGGGGGGAGGCATCGTCAGAGGGGTTAAGTAACCTGCCCACACTCACATAGCTAGGAAATGACGAAACAGGCTTCGAATCCAGGTCTGGCTCTGAAGACAAGGCTTCTAATATTAAAGCCACCCTCATGACCACAAAAATGACAAATCCTACTGATAGAGCCCCTGACACATCAGAATTATTCCAACCTCCAAACATTCCAGAGAGATTTTTTAGATGGTAAAACTGACACCTAAAGAGGGACTGAGTCATCATACACTCAAGGTTGCATAACTAGTTATGGGGGAAATAGAAATATGAACCCAGATTTTCATTCTTTTCATTGCAAGTATTTGGGGGCACGCCCAGCAGGCCAGGCCCTATGTCAGATGTTGGGGAGCCAACACTAGACAGGACACACACCATCCATGAACCTTCTGTCCAGAGGGGCGGCTACTTCAGAAATAGCTCTTCCCATGACACCATATGCTACCCATAAAAAATTGTACCAGCCCCTTCAGCAGTTCTGTTTTGAAGAAGAAAGTGATCTGAGAACAGAGGATATCAACAAAAAGATGGAAATGGTTTGCATTGGAGGAGCTTGGGTTGTTTTCAACATAGGTTACCAGAAATCCTATCCTTTGTCAAAGCCCAGTTCTGCCTCTCCCTGAGGGGAGGGTGTGTGGACAGGCCGGGAGACTCACCCATAATAAGCAGACTGTTTGGGCACCAAAGGAAACCCAAATCCCAAATTGCCCACTGAGTGACCATAGAAGCCGGTACAGAAAGCCTCAGGCAATATCCTGGTGGCAATCACCAGGCTGATCTGGCCTCCCCTCACACCCTCGTCACACATCAGGACAGGACAGGAGTTAATCTGATTGGGCCACCCACCATGCCCAAACTCAGCAGTCCATTTCTGCAGAAGGGAGTGCAGGTGAGAGACTCGGAAGGGAGGTGGGATGAGAAAATTCTCAGTTGCACCCTTTGCAGGAGTTCTAAGAATTCAGGACCAGTGAGCACCATGCATTATCATCCTCCACCCAGCCCCGTGGGCCACGGGAATACAAAATTAACAATCTGATGCAAAATAAAACCTGGAGATTAGAGCCAAAGCAGTCCTTTTTATCCCCCTTTCTGCAGCGAAGGTACATTGATATTGCCACTAGTTGCTGACTCTGATGCTGATTAATGTTCCTACGAGAGAACCAGCCTTAGAGTCTCTAAGTCAAGACCCACACACAGCCCTGAGGCCATCATCACGGTGACCAGGCCAACTAACTTTGTACCTAACTTTCCCAAGAGAACACCTTTTCTTAGTTGGGACTTTTGTATTTTTTTTGCTCAAAGGGGAATTATGTTTATAATTGATGGCACAGAGGCCACGCCTGCCCCCTTGTTAAACTAATGAGTCAAGTTTACTTGATAGTCACTTAGCAAAAAGTCTCCGTACACTGGGAGTTGGCCAAACTGGTATAGTGAACCGTTGCGTGTTGGGCATCCTTGGGCTTTTATAATCCAATGCGGGAGCTGTAGGGGGCGCTTACCCACTGTGAGCCTCCTTTGGGGGTCTCAAGGGGGAGACTGCACAGTCCTGCCAGCTCTCTAATTTCAGAGGCGCATTGCGGACCCACGATGGCGTGGATCTCTGGGGTCCAAACTCCTGAATGCTTAATCCAGCACTAAAAACCTAGGTATTTCTCCAATTCTAAATATCTCTTGCTAGAATTTTGGATACATTACATAGAAAAAGGCTGATGAGGAAAGCAACCACTGGAGGTAAAAGGCCAGGCAGTGGGAAGAAGTTTTAAATTCCCAAAGAACACAATTGTATAGTTTTTTAGTTCCCCCTCCCCCCGACAAGTTAAATGGATGTGGCTGAGAGCATCCCCGAGGCTTACCTGGATGGGGTTGTAGAGCTCCTGCAGGGGGCTTCGGGACCCCTTCCGGCAGCAGATGTCCACACCGAAGGGATTCCGCCGCATGACTGAGGAGAGAAAGTAGAGACTCATCAGAAATGAGCAACGAAGGTTTGTTGTCTGGCAAAGAAAAAGGCACAGAGGTGGGAAGAGGAAACAGGTAGGAAAGGAAGGGAGAAAATCAGCTTCTAGCAAAGAAAGATTTCTGATTCTGTTCCCTTCTCTGGGGGTACAGCTGCCCGTCCGTCTTCCCAGCATCCCGGCATCTTCACACCCAGAAGGGGATAAATCAGCCTAAAAATCAGCAAGTTCTTGAGAAAACAGGGTAGGCGCCTAAAACTCATTGGAATGAAACCACTTAGAAAAAACAATGTAAAGGTTTTTTCCAAAAGAACAAGTTCTACCAAATGTGATCTATTTCCTGCAGATAATTCCCTCCACAATTAATGACCTTTTATTCCTGGTCTCGGGGAACAGCGCAGGTTCTTCCCTGGGGACCTGCTCCCAACATGTGAGTCAGAGCCTTCTCAAAGCCTCTAGGAAGTTACATGGTTTTGAATGAAAATGTCAGTTGGAGGCAGAAAAGATGAGAGTTTATGGTTCTAGACAGATGGAGATGGCACTTACGCAGCTCCTAAGAGGGGGAATTAAGTGAACTCCTCACAACGCACCAGCATTGAGGTCACCAAGAACCATTAGTTTCAAATGGATTCCTTCTTCATTCTTCTTGTTCACAAAACATCCTAACTGCACCCAGCCACTCGCTCACACTGTGTCTAACCCATAATCATGGGCTCGATAATCATTTATTGACAGGGAAGGAGGAAATGGAGAAAGAAGTAGGGAAGGAAGAAAGCTGGGAGAGAAGGGAGAAAGAAGGGATGGGAGGGGAGGGGAGGGGAGGGGAGGGAAGGTCAGGGCAGAGGGAAGAAAGGAAGTTGGAAAAGAGAGCAAGATGGGGGAGGACGAATGAACAAGGTCTTTCTTCTCAAAAAGGAGGCAGTATTTTATGAACCAATGTGACAGGTACGTGAATGGAACAAAGAAAACAGATCCTTTCATAAACCTGAAGGATTGATCTGCTCCATTGTGGCATACACAACAGGACATTCCCTGCAGCAGATAGCCTGGGTTTGAATCCTAGCTCTACCATATACCAGCTGTGTGACCTTAGGCAAATTACCTAACCTCTCTGTGCATTCCATCCATAAAATGGAATGATATCTAACTCCCTGGGTTGGATTTGAGAATTAAATGAGTTACTTCTCTATGCAGAATTATTTATTTATTTATTTATTTACTTTGGAGATAGAGTCTCAGTTTATCGCCCTCAGTAGAGTGCCGTGGCATCATAGCTCACAGTAACTGTCAGCTCTTAGGTTTAGGTGATTCTCTTGCCTCAGTCTCCTGAGTAGCTGGGACCACAGGCACCTACTACAATGCCCAGCTATTTTTTTGTTGTTATTGCTACAGTTTGGCCATGGCCAGGTTTGAACCTGCCACCCCCAGGATATGGGGCCGGCGCCCTACTCACTGAGCCACAGGCACTGCCCTCTATGCAGAATTCTTAAAACCATGCCTGGAAAATAGCCAGACTTGAACAGGGTTGGTTATAAATTTCTGAAGCTATTCTACATTGTACACTAGGTTTACATGTAACAATGTATAGCACAAGTTGCTTGGCCCATGGGAGGAAGGTGGGGGGTTCTCTATTCATGAGCTATCAAGTGGGCTGATAAGGAGTTACCAGGCCTGAGCTGGGTGCAGCTCGAAAGACTGGGCCTTGGAGGGACTGAACCCAGGGCCCTCTACTCAGAAGTCAGCTGAGGTCGGAAAAGGGAGGACAGTCATCTGCACAGGCAGCTGATTACTTCTGGAAGGTCTCTAGCCCCTTCCCAGGTAGGCCTCCTTGGCCTTGTCACTTTGAGCCACATAGAAACCCTAAGAGTAAATCATCAATTCCACAAAACTTGAGGCTATGTTTTTTTCTGTCCTTGACTTCCTAGGGCTGGGGTCAGCAAACTTCTTCAGTAAAGGGCCAGACGATATTTAGGCTTTGCATGGCAGAATGTCTGCGTTAACGCTTCACCTGGGCCTGTGGGGTGTGAAAGCAGCCAGTAACGCTATGGAAATAAACCGGCATGGCTGAGTGCCAATGAAACTTCACATATGGACAGGGAAATCTCAGTTTCATATAATTTTCATGTGGGGGGAAATATTTATTCTTTTGAGTTTTTTCCCTACCAATCAAGCAAAATAAGGCCGTGGGCTGGACCTGGCCCTCGGGCTGTAGTTTGCTAGCCTTTGCCCGGCAGAACTGCCCCAAGTATTCCTGGGGTCGGCAGTGCCAGCTCCAGACACTCCCTGGATGCCCAGAGCCTTCCCCGGGGAAGGGGTATCTGCAGGCAAATGTCAGTACATAAAAGCCATTAGGATTTGATTAGGTCCTACAGAGAAACACTGGCTCTTTGTTTCTCCACGGTTGCCCCAAGAAGAGGGGGGAAAATTCTACGGTGTGTTTTTCTTTAATTTATTACTTCATTTTTCATTTCCACCAAAAAGGAGGTAAACTGTTAAATGCACGCAGGTTACCCTTGGTGCACAATGACATAGCAACACTTCGGAGGAGTAAAAACAGCCATAAAACTTGTAAAATTATGCCCACGCCGTGCAAGATTAAATTCTCCCCATGGCGGCAGACGGCTCATCCGGGCCCATGGCTGCGGGACTGCCACAGTGTAAACCCTACCGTGGAATCCATTAAAAGTCTGCTTTTATGGGGAGCAGTATTATTTAATTGGCTTATTTTTCTAATACAAGGTCTTTAAAATGCTTTGACCGTGTGGGGCCCAACCTCGGGTCCTTTGCCTACAGCCGCCAGTGCCTGGTCCAGCCCTGCCCATGACTTCCCCGGGCGCCGCATGAACCGGCTTTGGTCCCCCAAGTCCACAAAAGCCAAAGGGGCCTTGTGTGCTTTTTATGGGAATGATAACAATCCTGGCGCTGATGGAGCACACACTGTGTGCCAGGCACCCGGGGAAGTGTAATCCTTCCCGCAGTGAAGGAAGTACCTGCGTTTTGCAGATAACCTCTCTGGGCCTCCCTTAACTGCGGTCATGCAGCTAAGGTCAAGGCCATGTTGAGGGAAAGTTGCCAAGACAAGACTGGCAGGTCCTGCCCAAGTGAGGAAGGGCCACCCCTACATTCCTGCTCAGACCACCAGGAGGAAACAGCACGCTTTCTACCACTCCGTAGGTCAGAAAGAGCCAGATGACTCAGAAGGCACCCAGTGATCTACAGAAAGATGGAAGTAAGAGTCAAGGGACACCCAGAACAGACTGAAGTCCCCCTGAACCCTCCATGTCATGCTCCCCAAACTAGAGTTTCCCAATCAGATTGCTTATCAGAAAGGTGGGTGTCTGGGCACGTCCTTTGCTTCATCTCAGTGTATCAAATCAGAAGGAAGGGAGAGAGGGGGCTAAAGCCCAGGAATCTGCATTTTTATTATAATAAGGTTTCCTCCCCTATGGAGAAGAGGGAGACGAATCATACTTTCATGCCTCCAGATTTACTGCAGAATAAAATAATTCCCACACAACCTGGTTTCATTTACCTCCAAAGACAGCATAACGTTCACAATAAGAGCTGTGGAATGGCCCCAGTGCCAATGTCGGGAGAAGGTACAGATACTCCCTGGAAGCTGAGCCCCACTGTGCCCCTTCTCAGGTCCGGACCATGGGAGCTTTTGCTTTCTAGGGGCCACCACTGAGTACTCTACTCATCACACTGAAATGACAATAATAAAGAACTATCAGGTTGCTTGGGAGACAAAGGAAGGGCCTGGAATATATGCACCTGAGCATGGGAATATTTAGCCCATGTGTGTCTTAGAAAAAGTGGCCCCAGAGAAGGTTGAGTAACCAGACAACAGTGGCAGCTAACATCTGGAGGGTGTTCCTGTTTCTCACTACCAAGGGGGATACTGAGGCATGGCAGGGTTGGGTAACTAGCCCAGGTCTTATGACTAGTAAGAGGTAAAGACAGGGTTCTGAGCTGGAAAGACCACACACTCTCAACTACCACACTCGTCACATGAGCCAAACACCTCCATAGTTTCCTCTTGGCACAAGACCTGGTTGGCTGGTGACTTCTAGGACAGTGATCCACATGTAATCTAGTATTACAGGATTCACTAAAATGCCTGGGTGGAGAGCGATTAATTAATAGTTGTTACACTCATTCATTTGACAATTTTTATCAAAGCACCTATGATATGCGGGCACCAAGCCAGGCACTGGGTTTAGGGGTTAGAGACTCCGTCTTATCCATGCTGCTGGCGCTTGGCACACAGTCGGTACTCAAAAAGTTCCTAAACAATCTGGGATTTAACACCTCCTTGAAGAGCATCAGAGAGCTTGGTTTCTTGCTCTATATCTGGAGGAAACTGCCAGTAGCATCAGGCTATGGTTATTTTTTTTTTCCTTTGAAAATGAAAGGTCTGATGATCAAAAGCCCCATGAACGGAATCCCTGAGAGCATTTAATGGTGGCCTTCTGCTGTCCATCCCACTGTGAGTTCTACTTAGTTACAACACTTGTTTTCTCCCTTCTAAACTCAAATCAATGGGATCCAAGACAGTTTTTAAAGAATCAATTTACGGTATGAGGTCTTGGACCCAGACACAGTTATGCACATTTCGGAACTCCATACATAAATGAAGCTAAAATTAAATCAAGCCCCTTGTGTTCATTTCATCATGACGGAGAGCACATTGTTTTCCAGTGGACACTCCATTCCCAGCCTCTGAACTGAGAGCAGGCCTTAGAAAGTTAGTTCATGACCAAGGAATCAAGTCCATCTCACCCTGCAAGTGGCTCCCTGGGACCCTGTCAGGGCTGTTGGAACAGAAGGGAGCTGTGGGATTGTTGATTCAGGTCTGAAGACATAAAACTGAAATGCGGCTGGACCCTGGGCAGGAACTCGCCTTTCATGCATGTCATAAAACCAAAGACATTTGGAATTCCGAGGGATTATATAGGCCAACCCCTCAATTTGCAGAAGAAACTCA